CAGACATTGCAATACAAAGTTATATATTTATTTATAGTTATATAATATATTATTTCGATAAACACCATCAAGTAGAAAGTACATTTTCATTTACTAGAGCAGAAATAGTTTAGTGGTGCAAATAATATGCATGAAGATCCGATAATGATCAGCTTGTAATCACTAAGACGGGATTGTTTGTAATAGCACTGACCAATCTGGATCAGCAATTATTGTGCGCGGATTATGCGGTGATCTAATTCCTGTTAAGCATAAGATTCCCTGATACAAAGGCGAATCGGCTCGCAGGATAAAATGAGATCTACTCTTCTTGCTTCAATGGTCACATAAACTATTAAAATATCGTTTTGTGTATCAAATTTATATTCTCTCGTCGAAAATCATTTATTACATTTTATCTCATTATAACACCATGTTTGACAAGAATGTCTGCTGTGTTTTACATAAACCACGCTAACATTTCCGGTTAAGAAAAATCACTTTCCCGAGTACCCGTTTGAAAATCGTTTTTCGAGAAGATTTCAATTGCAATCGGTTAGTCTTAATGCAATCGTGCTTCGCACGACGAAGAGTCTGATGAAAGACTTTGAATGCTCGCCGTGAACGAAATTAAATTTCACCAATTAAAAGCGGCTCGAGCATCTGTTCAGCGGACTAATTCCTCTAATTGGTTCGACATTATCCCGTTACCGACCTGTTGATTGAAAGAGCATGCACAATGTATGCGACAAGGCTTACACATTTAAAAGTGCATACATAGATACATACATGTAATCAGTTGAACACCGATTCGTTCAACCGAAATTATTCAATAATCACTCGGTGCATAATATTCACGGTGATAAATAATGTGTTTATTTGAACGAATAATAATAAACGGAGATGTTAAACATATCTCCCTGACTTAAATTAGATATTTTTGAAATAGAATGCTTAAACACGCGGTAATTGGGTTCTCATGCTTGCTCGTTAATTAATTGACTTTCGACTCGTACCGTTTTCTCTCGCAGGCACGCGACACACGCGAGATGTTTAACATAATCGATATTCATAGGTACTTTCAAGCAAATTCGTGCGAAACTAATTAACATTCATTATTCGTCATGTTCATGAATATCAATTAAAATCATGCCTTTTCCTTCTACCAGAGAATTTACTGAACATTCACGTCTAATGCGTGTTTCATATTACAAATGATTAATCAGCATGCTCCTTTATCCATTACTATAATTCCTTTAAAAACTGTTGTATGAACAACATTTATTTTTGCACATACTTCGTTTCTATTGATCCTTTAATACTGTACATTCTGTACAATGTAATGAAACGAAGTATGACTGCAACAGTTATTCGTACTTAAGATTGTATGAGTCGTAAGATCTCTACCAAAAGTTTAAGGCATGCAATAAAAAGCTGTGTCCAATATCTGAAGCAATGAACTTTTAGGAAAAATGGTATTTACGGAGGAGTCAGGTTTATAAAGTTGTTCGACCTGTTTTCCTCGGACATAAGGAATTTTTAACGCATAATTTTTAATATTCTAATACATGGTTTGAGCATTTTTTTACGTGACTCGCAATTGTCTACATACTCTACATCGTCTATATGTCCTACAATTCTTACTTTTACTTACTTTTTATTGTAAGTCTTAAATAATAGCTTCTAAATTAACATTGTTTCAATTTTAAAATATTCTTAAATCATGTATTAAGAATTATACAAAATTGCAAATTTCTGTCATTGTTTCATTCATATTTTCTAATAGATGAAATCAAAATTTTGTCATTCGACATAAAAATTCAAGATGTAATAACTTTTTTAATAGACTCGCAAAATGTCTAGAATTTTGTGCAGTGTTTTATTAATGTAATATGTTAAAGCTTGGATGCTTTGTCATTGTTTTTATGTAAGGGTTCATACAACCTTAATGTTTAAGATTTAATATTGCATTACTTCCATCTCTTATAACGTATTTATAAGTAAAAAACAGAATGAATTCAATTCAAAACGAGACGCTATGACATAGGCTTAAAAAATCCTCTAGATTTCCAATGCGTACAAGAGACGAAGCGAACACCTATTTACACCTACGACCTAAGTGCAGAGTGTACTCTGACGAGTCAGAACTACCTACGCGAAATGATTTGAAATGCGTACAATCAGCATTTGTGATATTGCATCATGATTCAAGGTAGCATGGCGTTTAAGCGAAAGGGTACGACTGATCTCAGCCGCCGCTTTCTAATTACTCAACGAGTTAATGAGGAAACAAGCCTGAAGCTAGCTACGAGCTATGAGTCGCTAACGACCAACCCAGTTTCGCGTTTTATTTGAACAGACCGACGACGTTTATCGACGTCCTCAGTCTCCGTCTACTTCCATCATATCCTTGTGTCGTATCACCGTTGCGTAACATCGTTGCTTGTTAGTTTTTCAATGAAAAATGAATTCAAAAGTTAATCTCTTCTCATATTTGTTCAGCTCACTCTATATATAAAAAGACGAAATTAGCATCGCATGCATTTTAGAAGAAATAAGGAAGAGCTTGATCGTAGATGTGTTTGATCATTGGCTCTGTATGTTTTGTTTTATTCTAATCTGTTCTGTAGGACAAGACCATTTGCGAGCGTATGACTTCCAAACGCGTAGATTCAATGAAAGTTGATTCAGGTAAAGATTTAAATCCGATTATTTAACTTAAATCCAGTTCCAACATATATAATTATTAATTTGAAATATTTATCGTTATTAATAATAAATACTTAAGAATGGCCTAAGGCTTATGAACTGAGCTATGCAATGGTTGTCTGTTCACAATGATACCCAATGGTGATTCGATACGAAGGTACGCTACGGCTGATAACGCTTTAGGACTTTCGCAAAGCGAAAGGGTGCTGTTGCTCGCGAGGTTACCGAACTAATCCAATGCGTCTTCAACCACGGAATAGCATCGAAAGAAAGTAGTTTCAGCTTCATTGCCTGGTGGAATATCTCTAAATTGAGAGTGTAACGCCGTTTCAACCGAGGGAAGTCTGTATAAAAATTCTTGATGCCTCGTAAAATCCGCCTCAAAGCGTTGCTCACAGATTGAAAATTCAACGATCCGATCGGTTTACGCCTCGTACCGTTTTATAGGTTCAGCAGTGTACGCCACGGCGATTGTTTACTTGGAAAAGAGAGATTAGTACGACACGAACAAAAAGCGAGATCGTCGTTTTAATGCTTCGAAGACAGATGCACGTAGAATCATGTTGAATCGTAATTAGAACGTCGCTTTGTACAGATTCGATGAATTACAGTGCTTCTACTTATATTCATTACAATTTTCGAGTAATAAGACATTCTCATCTTAAGCTCATTTCATTAACGAATACATATTTGGAAAACTAAACGCGACTTACAAAATTTGGAGTATACAACATGTTGTGGCTTCCGTATCCGAAGTTCCATGAAGAATTTTCATGACGCAAACAAGACCGTCAATGTGGTCGATTACTAGCGTTCCTTACTTAAAACAGCCGATTTAAACCCGCCGTAACTTTAACTAACAATTGTGTTTGGGTTATGGTTTACGACCGGCTGGTGGCTGGCTAGTCAGTCGGACTAAATGGAACAGCAATTCTTTAGAAATCTCCTTCCGGCGACTTATTTTATCAACTCCCTTCTCTGACATAAACGTGAATTAACAGAATTTTTAAAGGAATAGAAAAGTTCGAGGAACGAGGAACTTTAAATTGGCTTGTAAGTTCCAATTTTCTTGGTCAACTTCTCGTTTCACTGACTGTTTCGATAGGATATACATAAAAATATGTGCATTTAATCATTTTCGTGAAGTAATATGTTATAATTTTTATTGCAATACAGAAGAAATACGAAAAGGACTTTAAAGAAGCGATTCGGGTGAACGTAATTAGATGAAGTGCGGTTTAAGGAGTAACGGTGTATATATGGTCAGACAACGCTCCGTACATACATCGTAGTTATGAGGAAGTGTGTACATACATTCACTGAGTGAATCAATAAAAATAGTGATCTAAAATAACACAATGTTTAATAATTCTATTAAGGAACTTAATAAAAATGAATTGCAATTTATTAAATAAAAATTTTATGTATAAGTAAAGTATGTTATCATGATCAGTTACTTTCTTTGTACATGTGTATAATAATACTCTAACAATAAATCCTTTTCGAAAACTAAATTTCTTCTTCTATTCATTCAATACCTTAGAAATCGTCAAAACGATGAAAGAAAGTTGTTGAACGTTCTTGTTGAACGTGACCGAAAGTTCAACAACAGACAGACTATGAAGCGCACAAAGTTTCATCAAGGCGATTGTTCGAAATCAATCAAAGACGAAACTCCGAGGTAACAGTACAGATTGCTTTGAAATTCCACCTTTTCTCCTGCCCCACTAAATATTGATTGAACCTAAATATTTCCAATTTTAATCAACACGAACCAATCCAATCGTCATTCAACGAAACAGAAATTAAAATGAGAACACAATTCGATTATTACCAACTATATTACGGAAAGTATTAGTATGCGTGCGACATTGTATCGGTCTGACAGATGCATACTCCGGTTTTAAAAAGTGCCACACACAATAACTTATTGTTAAATGATTCTATTAAAACATGCTGTTTATGAATTTATTATCCGATGAATCGTATTAAATAATCCTTATGTTTCGACAAAGCAAAATATATTTCTAATTAGACATTATTACTCTTTTACTGATTCGCCCTTCAGATATGAGTTGA